TTTCATCATTACTGGCTTTAGTGTTTGGTGCATAAATTTGAATAACAGCAGTATTAACTGGTCTTGCATTTGGGTGTATGGATAGTATCCTGTCACAGACAGCATTGTATTTGAAGATCGATGATCTTTTTGATGATGAATGTGACGCCATTCCTCTTCAATTTGTTATTGCCAGCATAGTAAATCATATAATTCCCAGATTCACAATGGCGAGTGCCTGTCCATTTCGGCTCATTAATACCTAGGACATTGATGTTTATGTGTTCTATTTCATTTTTGACAACGTCCAATTTTTTTAGATTAATACTTGGTATATTCCATGTTCTGATTGTTAATGGATGTTTACAGGTGTTTCTCCTCATTTTCAGGATATATGGGGAAATTTGTTATTGTTTCTGTACTTTGTACATTCATGATTCCATCAAGCAATAGATAGTCCATTTTATCCATTACTAAATACCTCTCTTAACATACTATTTTGCTGTTAGCTAAACAGTAACTTAAGTATTCTTTCTCTCTGTGCGTAAATAGCATAAATGGTGGACACAAGCAAATTCAGCACACACACAATGTCTTTATTAAATGGTTCACAATAGTCAAAACAATTAACATCCAGTTTTACATTTACATTCTCTTGTAGACAATTCTGATTCTTTAGGGCACATCTTGCTAATGGATGTATAAAATAAGTCAGGATAAAGTACACTCCTCATAGACACAGTTCAGAGCTTTGGCAGCTCGATGCTGAGCTGCGGAGTGTGCTCCTGGGGAAGGTGCTTGGTGACGTCCCACTCTGTTCGGTCTGTGCTGCCGCTTTTATGGCTTGCTGTGAAATAACACTGAATGCTATTTCTGCATTTCGCTGTTTTTGTTTTGTTTTTTCCGCAAAACCAGAATTCTTCTCAGGATATCTTTTGGTTTGTGAAAACAAGTACTAATATAAGTCATTAGTAAATGTCAAGTGACATAAAAGTATAATTTCAAAAAGCCAGCAATACCTGTGTTAACATACAAGTAGATAATAACATACAAGCATTGTAGAGGAAATCCTCATAGCCAATAAATAGGAAAAGATGGTGTGACTGTAGGATCAGCATGGACTGCGAACCACAAGGTCAGCAGTTCATACCCACCCACTACTCCTCAGAAACCCTCCATAGGGTCACTATGGGTCAAACCAATTTGACGCATGTCACAACACCCACAAACCTCAGGGAAATGTGCATTGGAAGTACAGTGAGATACATTATTTCATAATCATAAAGTTAGCAGAAGTTAGCAGTTTGACAGTATCAAAATAAATGCATGCCATTTTTGCTCTACTTCAGAACAGTGTTCTTACAAATATATTTACACATTGTTAGAAGAAAATTATTTGTATACAACTTTTTATTGCTGTGTTATTTGTAATAGCAAAATAATGGGAATGCCTTGAGTGTCCATCAACAGATCAGGTTAAATAAGTTATGAAATGCTTGTAGTGGAGAACAGCGGCTCCTCGGTTTTTTTATAGTATGGAATGAATTCTAGGGTAGATTAAGTAAAAACCAAAAATGGCAGAACCCTGGGTATAAAATGCTCCCTGTTGTGTTATTGTAGAAAGAGAAAGCTAATTTATGTTTTTACCTCAATGTGTATTGTTGTTATGTGCCGTCGAGTCGGTTCCGACCCATAGCAACCGTCTACAGGGTTTCCAAGGCTGTAAATCTTTATGGGAGCAGAAAGTCTCATCTTTCTCCTGTGGAGTGACTGGTAGTTTAGAACTGCTGCCCTTGCGGTTCACAGCCCGATTCGTAACCACTGTGCTACCAGAGCTCCTTTCAATGTGTATAAGCTATCTGAAAGAAAGCATGAGAAATTCACTGGGAAAGGGGATAAGGGGGAATCTTTATACTTTTCTTGTAAAAATTTATTCAAATTAGGTATATGTAATTCTCATTCTAAGAAAGTAAGTAAATAATTGTTACTGTGTTTCTAAACATGGACCTAGGAGTCACACAATTTACTCACATTCTAGCTCCAATTCCTTCTGACTGTGAAACTACGCAGGTTACTTATCCTTCCCGTGTCCTACTTGCATCATCTGTTAGAGTTTTAAGATCTATGTGATGTTTAAGTTCATTTAAAATGGATTACATTGTTAGCATACATATTCAACTGATTATCATTTCCATATTTTTTCAGCACCATAAATGTATAATATCATTTGATAGTGCAGTCATTTATATCCAGATTGCCACAACGTCTTTTGTGAATGTTGGTTATCGTTGGCATGCTGTCCATTTTTAATTGTGTGGTTTTGTAGTAGAATAAAAACAAAACACTAAGATTGGTATCCTTCTGAATTTAGCAGCTCTATAATGTGGCGCTGTGGGCTAATGCACTGGACTGCAAATCCGTTTGAACTACAAGGTCGGCAGTTTAAGCTTACCAGCTGCTATGGGTCGGAACCAACTCGACGGCACTTCACAACAACAACAAATCAACAAAGTGCATTCCTGTCCACTAATACTTTTTTTGTATCTTCTTAGAAATGTGAACATAATTTGAGCAAGCCAGAATTTAATCCAACATCTATCAAGTTCAAAATCCAACTGGTTGCTGTGTGAGTATTTTGGGCTTGGTTTTAAAACCTGGTATGTTTTACATTTGTTTTGTTTTTTTAATATGAAACATGTATATTCTTGATTTAAAAATAGAAAAGAACTGCACCAGGATAATCTTCTTGCCGTTCTATTTCTGTTTAACTTTTAGATTTAGTTAAATACCATGAAGTGTAGTAAATCATCAGATTTAGGATTCAGGTATTTGTATTAGGGACACAGTAGTCATAATAGTGTGGTGTGGGGCAGTGTGGTATGTTGGTCATCATTCATTGCCTAAGTTCAGGAAGGATCTTTGAAGTGTAATTGATTGAAGGTATATTCCTGTATGCTGTTACTGCTGCTGTTTGCCCTTGAGCCGGTTCTGACTCATAGCCACCCTGTATCTGAGGCTGTAAATCTTTACAGGAGTACAAAGTGTTGTAAAATCACTTATCAAAAAAATTTTTAAGTTATCTTTTTTAAAATTAGGGAAACGTTTTTGTCTTAACTTTAAGGTAAGAGAGCCCACAAAATCAGAACTAAGGAGGAGACAGATTTGACCTTATCAAAATGAAATATTGACTTGTGAGAGACAAAATAAACAGCCAAGTACTAAGACAGGGAAGCAGTCAAACATTTTGGCCATTCTTGACAACAGAAAGAAAAGTTTCAATATCCCTGGCATACAGAATTCTACAAATTGGAAAGATAAAAATGGAAGGGAGAGTTTGGGCAAAGGACTTGAGCAAGCAGCTTACAGTAGAGGAAATCTAAATGGGTGGCAACTATATGGAAAGAAGCTGAGATTTGAGAGCAAAAGTTCAGTAAGTAAGCATCTCGTGAGGATGTGAGGAGCATTTTCATACATTGTTGGTAGGATTATGAATTGCTAGAATTACCTGAGCTAACAGAGTAAGTATTTGGGGGAGTATCAAGACAAATCACATAGACTTTAACCAACAATATTATCTCAGGATTCTAGTCTGAAGAAACAAAAGCACATAAGGATGTATTTACCAGGATGTGTATTACATTTTAGTGGCAAGAAGAGCTGGAAATAAATTCTATGTCTAGCTGATTGACAAGCAACAGGAAAATAATTGATTCAGTTGAGCTGCACTCATCCTACAGAATGTTTTTCAGCAATTAAAGACAGAAGACAGAAAAATGGAGACGTTCCGGCCCAGTGAGTTAGGAAGGGCTCAAACTGTGACTCTTGTGGTTGCTTATCATGTGGAACCACTGTGCTCCCCATAGTTATTAGGGAAATGCAAATCAAAACCACATGGAGATACCACTTAATTTCCACATGATTGGTGATCATCAGAAGCGCTAAAAATAACAAGTGTTTGACAGGAGTTAGAAAAATTGGAATCCTCATTCATTTCTAGGAGGATTGCAAAATGGTCAGTTACTATAGAGAGGACAATTTGGCAATTCCTCAAAAAGTTATATTTAAGATTACATATGACCCAGCAATTCTATTTTCAGGTGTTTTGTTGTTAAAGTACCATTGAGTCAGTTCCAACTCAGAGTGACCCCGTATTGGGTTTCTGAGGCTGTAAATCTTTACAAGAGCAGAAAGCCTCATCTTTCTCCTGTAGGGAAGTTGGTGGACTGACCTTTAGTTAGCAGTCCAGTTCTTATTCTACAGAGCCACCATGCCCCTAGGTATAATATACTCAAAAGAATTGGAAGCAGGGACTTAAAAAAAATACTTACATACCAACGCTTATTGCAACATTGTTTACTATAGGAGTCCTGGTGTGGCACTGTAGGAAAAGGATTGTGTCGCAGTTTGGTTTGAGTTGCAGAGTCAGTTTTTCAAATTCACCAGCCGTTCATTGGAAACCTTTTCAGTGTCCCTATGAGTTGAAGCCAACTCAGTAGAACTTAAGAACAACAACATTCACTATAGCCAAAAGGTAGAAACAACTTAAATGCCCATCGTCAGATGAATGAAGAAACAATGTGGTGTATACATACCGTGGAATATTACTTAGCCATAATGAAAAATCAAGTCCTGAGACGTGCTACCACGTGGATGAACCATGAAAACTTGGTGCTAAGTAAAGTAAGTCAGCCACAAAAGGATAAGTATTATATCCCAATTATACAAAATATCTAGAATCGGCAAATAGAGGGTTATCTAGGGCAGATGGGAAATGGAGATACTGTCTAAGGGATACTGAATTTTGATTGAGGCTGAATTGTTGTTTTTAACTGCTATCAAGTTGATTCCAACTCAGCGACTTTGTATAGGGCTTCCAAGGAGCAGATGGTGTGTTTTCATTGCTGACCTTGCAGTTAGAAGTCCAGTGCTTATACAAAGCCACATCAGGACTCCAGTGTCACTGAATAGTACATATAAAAATGGTTGACATGGCAATTTTTTGTTAAATGTATTTTATTCCAACAGATTTTTTTTTAAGTGCCCTTTTTATACATCATGGCAAAATTTCTTGGCACTCTTAATATAGTTTCTGTGGTTGCATCTGAGATCTGCTGAATCCATATCATTGGTGGTGGTGGTTATGTGCTATTGAGTTGATTCTGACCCATAGCGACTCTGCAGGGTTTCTGAGGAGCCACCATGCTCCTAGGTATAGGCTGGTGGGTTTGAACTGCCGACTTTGTGGTTTTCAGTCCAGTGCTCATCCTTCAGCACCACTCCAGGATTCCACATCTTTGGTAGTAGGCCCTTAAATTTATATTGTTAGATCTGACTGTAAAGTAGGTTTGAGCTGTAAGGTCAGTGGTTCAAGCTCACCAGTGGCTCCTCCGAAACTCTGTACAGGATCGCTATGGGTCGGAACTGACTTGACGCAAAAACACTAAATGGCAACCACAAAGGTAATACTGATGCCTAGTGTGCAAAACATTGTCCAAGATTCTAAGATGCAATTTTTTTTTTTTTTAATGTTTTATTGTGAATTGTGTGATAGGCTACATGGAAGAACATTAACTTTACATTCACTCCATCATCTGTCATTTCATTGGCATAGTTACCATCCCGTCCATGCATCCTCACCCAACCAACGCGTGTACCCTGTAAGCCTGCACCCCCCTCCCCCACCACAGTTCTCAGCCCCTTTCCGTCTCCTGATCCCGAGTCCCCAGCCACACCATCTCTTGACGTCGTCTTCTCTGCCTTCTCAGTCCTCACCGCTTCTCTGGGTAGGATCCCGCTCTCCGCTTTTCTCCATTGATGGTCCTAGGGTCCTCCACTCCTAGACTGAAAAGTTAATCACTCCCCTCCTTGCTACAAAATGTCCACCTTTAGATTTCCAACCCTCACAATCAGTCCTGATAACAGTTATTCACCATTGCATCACAAGACACCCATCTGTATTTCGTTTCATCAGCCCTTCCTGGACAGGTTGGACACTATTCACTGGAGACTCTAACATCTCCACACCCTTTGGATCTAGGTTCCCTCTTGAAAGCTTGTAAGCCAGTCACTTCTTGCCTTTGTATCCCTCCCCCCATTTTGGGTTGCCAATGCCCATCCCTGTCTACCCTTTGTGTGGAGGGGTTGGGAATAATTCTTGCAGCAGGGATTTGTTTCCTCTTTTGAGCTACTGCATTTATAGGTGTAGGTTAAGATGCACTATTTGTATTCACTTTATGTCCTGCAATGTAAGATTTTGTCGCATATGAAAGATGCATGATAATAACATATATGGGTGTTTTGTTTCAAGCACTGTTCTAAGTACTTTTTGCATGTATTATCCAATGTGTTCTTTATAATAATCTCAAGAGATAGATATTCTTCATTTTATAATTAAGAAAACTAAGGCTTAAAAAAATTAATGTGTTGCCCCCATAGTAAGGATTCCTGGTATGGTACCATAAGATAAGCACTGGACTGCAAGGTCAGTTTGAATCACAGGTGGGTGGTTCAAATTCACCAACTGCTCCTCAAAAACCATGTACAGGGTCCCAACTGTACAACATTTAACAACAACAACAGTCGCATAGTGTGGAGTTCTAGTATGTCACTGTAGGATAAGCACTGGTCTGGAAACCAGAAGGTTTTCAGTTCAAACCCTCTCACCACTCCTTGGAAACCCTATACAGGGTCACAGAATCAGAACTGACTCAATGGCACTTAACAACAGCAAGTCACACAGTATATAAAAGCTAAGATGGGATTTTAGGCCTTGGAAGTTTGGAGTCTAGAACAAGTACCTTTAAAATACAATATTCTGTTGTCTGCTTAGACACACAGCATAGCTTATTGGTTAAGAATAAAGATCCTAGAGCCACATTACCTGGGCTTGAGTCTTGATTCTGCTACTTACCATCAAGTTACTTTTCTTCACTTTACCTACTTTCTTCCTTTGTATAACGGGCATGATAATGCCTGTCTCATGACGTTGCAATGGAGATGATGTGAGTTCATATTTATGAAGTGCTTAGAACAGTGCTTGACACATAGTAAGTGCTGTGTAAGTGTCTGGTAGTGTTTACATCCCTAAAATATATTACTAAATCAGCCTAGGATGTTAGAATCAGCTGCCTGTGTATATATATATTTATATATATGATTTGAGCATGAACTCATTTTCAGTTTGGTTCATGTCTTGTCTTTAAGTCCTTTCTTAGAGTGCTTGTTATCACAGTGATGGTATAATTCTTTGTTTTCCTTCACTACATCTTCTAATAACATAACTATTCAATTTGCTGCACTAGCTAAAGAATAATAATAATTGTAAGGGATTCTGGTGAACATTAATGCCTATTTTTATTCATGCCTAGCAACTATATCCCAGAAGTGAGGATCATGTCCATTCCCAACCTTCGCTACATGAAGGTCAGTACCTTACTTACTAGCAGAAACAGAAAGGCTGGATCAAAGATGCATAAATATGGGTGTGTTGGTGGTTGTGTGTGATTAGCACAGGGTTATAATGAACAAGAGACAGAAAAGCATCAAGCTTGGAGTTATGAAAGAATTGGAACTTTACATTTCTTGAGGCTGGATTTCTTGACAGCATCTTTGGAATGTGTATATAAGAAGCAGTGCACAAGTTATGTATACAGAGGTGGCATCATAGGTGGGGAAAGGGAAGGAGAAGATGTTGTCCTTTCCCAGATGTCTTTACTCCTCCTATGGGGCAGTGGGTTATCTACTGTCTTGTATGTGTGTGTGCACACGTACAGACACACACCCCAGAATGGTGCCCCTCACTTCCTTGGTGTTCTCATGTCCACGTCTTTCTTCCATGTGTACCCCAGTTCATCATAGACGGTTCTGCCACAGCCTGTCTACACCTCTTTTCTTTCAGAATGCTCATGAAGACGTTTCTTTCCGTAGTCCCTCTTCATTTTACATTTTGTTGCTTCTCCCAAGAGAGTACCAACCAAGTGATGCTTATCATGGTTTAAGAAATGTTGAAAGTCTTTTATAGTCTTTGTGGGGTTTTTTTTCATGTCAGTACTATCAAGTAGCCTGTGACTCGCATATTCTAGTCACGAAGGCTTCCTTTTCAGGCTTTAGGTGACAACCTGGGTGGGGCAAGAATTGTAAACTGTTCAACAGGAAGGTAGTATATTATGTTCCTGAGATTTTTTTTTTTAAACATGTAAGTTGGACTTTATTTAATTTTTTTTAAATGTATGGTTCATAGGATACCAGCAAGAAAGTGAAAAAACAACCCATAAAATGAAAGAAAATATTGCTCCTGAGAATTTTTGTACCTAGTTAACTGGCCCTTTCTAAAAGATCCATCCTGTTTCCTCTGTGAAATAGTGATTAATATGTAGTATAAATGGAAATGGTAGGTGTGCCTGTTCAAGAGGAGTCAGGTAGTTGGGATTTCATGGAATATTTGATGTAGTAATTAAGAAAGGAAATCCATGTGACAGTTTTGTAACATGTCTGAGAGATGTTTTTCCTGTTTCCCAGGAGAGCCAGGTGCTCCTGACTCTAACAAATCCAGTGGAGAACCTCACCCATGTGACGTTGCTGGAGTGCGAGGAGGGGGACCCTGATAATATCAATAGCACTGCTAAAGTAAGAAGTCTTTTGCCTCCCTAACTAAACCTGAATTATTCTGGAATAGCCTCAGTTGACCTGTCTTAAAGGACTGCACACTGTCTTTCATCCCCACATCAAATTCTGTTGATTCCACTTCCTAATTTTTTACTTGACCCTTAAAAACACACTGCTACTCCTCTAGTTGAGGGTTTTAGCACATCTGACCTGAAGAGTAAGGAGCTCTGGGAGCATAGTGGTTATAAATTGGACTTAATTAAGGTCAGTAGTTCGAAACTACCAGCTGTTCCATAGGAGAAAGATGAGGCTTTCTGCCCCTGTAAAGATTTACAGCCTTGGAAACCCTGTACAGGGTCGCTTTGGGTCGGAATCGACTTGACAGCACATGATAACAACAACAAGAACCTAACAGTGACATGACCCCGTAGCTAGTCCACCCCCACCTCCATTGAGGCCCATCTTTCATGTTGCTGCCAGGGTGATCTTTCTAAATGTGGGCTTCCCTCTGACTTGGAAGTCCAGGCTCCTTGCCATGGCATAGAAGATTCCTAATGACCTCTACCTCTGTCTGTTCCTCCAGCGTGATCTTCCAAATCCCACACTTAGCCTTCTCCAGATAGTACGTGATGGTTGTGATCCAAGCAGTGACAGTAGAGAGTTGCATATGCTGTCTGTTTCACCTAGAATGTGTCCTTTGTCTTCCACACCTCTAATACACACCCACTCATCTCCTTTAGTCTAACACACACTTATTCTTTACAATTCATATCAAATACCACCTCCTTTTAGAAGCTGGAGTCCTGATGTGGCACTGTAGGATAAACAGTCGACTGCTAGCAGCAAGGTCAGCTGTTCAAATCCATAGCCACTCCTTGGAAACCCTATACAGAGCCACTATGTGTTGCAAAGGCACTTAACTACGACAATGCCTCTTCTAGATTCCCTTAGCTACACAAACTGCATAAAGTACACATAGCACGAACTACTGTAATGGGTGAATTCGACGCTCACTAAGCCAGAGAAAGAGGAGGCTTCTGCTCCCATAAAGATTTACAGCCTCAGAAATCCTACACGGGTTGCTGTGAGTCAGAATTACTTGGTGCAGTAGGTTTCCTTTTTGGTTTAAGTGTTTGATGAATAGATGAAATGTGGTCTACATTTTGTCACTTGATGATTCGTCTAGTACCTGACATTTTAGATCAAGAGCTTTTCTATATGTACCATCTATTGCTGATACTTAATTTACCATAGTAACTTGGTAACTACATTCAGCCTGATACTTATGTGACAGTTGGTAGAAAGGACCCCTATATCTTTCATTCTGTTAATCAACTAACACTTATCATAACATTGCCCCACCCCATTTTCTTTTTTTATTTCTGTAGTGTTCTAATGATTTCACTTATCAACAGCACTTCCAAAGACAGGAGATGACATTTATGTCTGTCCTTGCTCCTCGTTGGAATAGTATTACGGAGTACCTTTCCAGAGACAGAAATTAGTGCGTGCTGCTTCTATCCAGCTGTGGAATCATTCTCTTTACCCCTCCTCCTGCCACATTTGTCACCGTAATTGCAGATTTGGATGATGATGTTATCTGTGAGCCTCTGAGCTAAATTTGAGGCCTAAGTGCAATATAAGTCTGAAGAAAATGTAATTGTTTTCTGTGATCATAAACGTACTTAGCATTCCCATTTCAGAAAATATCCAATATTGGAACAATAGTTTTGCTTTTCTTTTTTTATGAAAAAGTATGAAATGTTTCAGATATGCCAAAAAAATGTAGCTACTAATATAACAAACACTATGTAATCCCCACCTTCTTATGTGAAAGGTAGAAACTTGTCAGAAGGAAAAGTCAAATATTTCCCACTAAAATGAGCTTTAGGAAAGTGGTAAGGCTGCACCCGGTCAAAGGCAGAAGGCTTGCGAGCCCCAGAGAAGCAAGGCAGTCCCACTGAGTTCTGACTCTCACAGGGACTGTATATGAGTGTCTAGATCAGTTTAATGATATGTACTAATCACTGGGCTGGGTCTCTTTGTGTTGACTGTAGGTGGTGGTGCCTCCTAAGGAGCTCCTTTTAGCCGGCAAGGATGCAGCAGCAGAATATGATGAGCTGGCAGAACCCCAGGACTTTCAGGATGACCCTGAGTGAGTGAGCTACTTGTGATGTCCCTTCTCTCTCCCCCTCCCCCTCCTCCTCTCTCTCTCACACACACACCACAGTTGATTGATGTAGGATGCCCAATTATATATCACAGGTTTCTCATCAGATTCTTGGAACGTAAATTTGTCTTCTTTTTTATAAGAACACTATAGAAAACTTGAAAAAATATATATAAACATCATGAAGAAGACACTAAAAATGACCTAATATCTTAGCAGTAGTGCCAGCACTATTAAAATTTGATGTTTGTCCTTCCAAACATGTCCTCCATCATTGGAATCATTCTGTAAATGATTTTTGCCATTGTTGCATTTAAATATTGTTCTGCCTTTCCATGTTAATGAACTTTTTTTAATGGCTGCAATATAGGATGTAATGTTTTATCCTTAAGAGATTTACCATTGAATTTGTTCCTACCCTTCCCTTTAGACTAATTGATAGATTTTACTCTATCCTACCTTTTAACCTTAAGGCACAGGATTGGGCAGTGTTTTGGTCTGTTGTGCATAGGGTTGCTTTGAGTTGGAACCAACATGATAGCACCTCACAACAACAACCACCATCTGTGGCTGAGAAATAAAAAGCCCATCTTTTCCCTGGATAGGGAATCTATTAGTCAAGATTCAGCCTAAAGCCATAAATCACATCAATTATTTGAACAGAGAGAATTTAATACAAAGAATTGTAAAGTAGTTTCAACTGGCTAAATGGGTAACTGAAAGGGTAAAAGAGAACAATCTAGTATCCCAGAGGTAACAGCTTACCACCAAAAAGGCTGAGGGAATGAAGCAAAATGATTACCATTCTTAAAATTGAAATGCTTGAAGGAGGAGCACCGTGCAGCTGAAACTGCGACCCCTGGGGACTCAGGGTGCCAGAGGAGAGGTGGCATGGTCAGGTAGGTAGTGCAAGAATTGGAAGTGTGCAGTTGGGTGAAGAACCACTGCTGAAGTGGTGTTCACAGGAATTGCTAACAAGCCAGAAGCTTACAGAAAGGAGCCAAGGCCCTTCTTTCTCCAAGTTCCCAGTCTCCTCTTATAGCCCCTGCTGACAGAGCCTGACACAGCCTGCCTGCAAAGCAAAATATTGGAAAGAAGAAAGAACCTGAGATGAGCTGGGAAAATAGAGTGAAGGCGAGATTACCAAATCAGGGTTAACTTGATAAAGTATCAGGGCAGCTTTGCTTTTCAATTCTTTGGAGTCTAAGACTCTATCTTAGGCTGGGTTCTCTAGAGAAGCAAAACCAATGAGATTATACATGCATATATATAAAGAGAAGTTTATATTAAGGAAATGTCTCACAATTATAGAAGTTGGAGAGTCCCAAGTCCAGGTCAGATGAACCGAGATCCGCAAGCAGGCTGCTGATGGCTCCCAGGATAAGCAGGTCATAGAGCAAGCCATGGCTCAAGTCCAAAGAACCAGAGGTCAGAGGACGAGCCACATGCAAAATCCAGAACCAACAGAAAGCTTTGCCTGAGTGTCCAATACAGTGGAAGTGTTGAGTAAACATCCTTTCAGTTTATTGGCTGCTTCTAGCCAATCATCATAGAGTTAACTACACTGTATTAGATTTCACCATGGGGTTAACCACATCTCAACTGCCAGAGCACTGGGAATCCTGGCCCAGTCAAGTTGACACAAAACCTTGACTCTTACAGATCCCATCCCTAGAGATTCTCTTTTAGCAAATCTAGTTAGTAACTGTTACTGTTCACTTTGATTCCGACTCATAGCCACCCTGTAAAACAGGTGAGGAATGCCTGACCTACAGGCTGTATAAGGCCTATGAGCTCATTTGGTCTGGCCCTGCCAAGGCAACTGCAGTTCCAGCCATCACATTTGGGGTGAGTTCATTAAATGTTTGACCAAGTATAGCAGGCTAATTTTTAAGTTGATAATTTTGTATAGCCTGTGAGTGATGTTACACATTTGGGCAGAAAACAGGTTCTCCACCCCCCGCTGTAAAGGGTTTCCAAGGAGCGGCTATTGGGTTTGAACCACTTTCCTTGTGATTAGCAGTCCAATCCTTATCCTACAGAGCTACACCAGGACCCCAGGTGGGACTCTTAAGTTTACTTTTTTTTTTTTTTTTTAAAGCTACCCCTGATGTCAGTGTTTGTTTGCCTGGGAAACAAAGAATGAGAACTAAACATTTTCCTTTATATTGTTCTTAATTGTTTGGATTTTTCATATGAATTTTATACAAATCAAGAGTTTGGTTAATTAGTATCAGTCATTCTCTAAAATCGTACTTCTTATGGGTCATTCTACCACTACCAGTTGCTGTCAAGTTTATGCTGACTTACCCTGTGTGTGTCCTTAAATTTTATTAATTAGATATACAAGTTTGCTAAGGCAAGGTAAACTTCTTAAGGATATTCTTAAATGTAATAAATTCTACTCAGAGTATATGATGGATTAATAGAAAATTGAATTAATGAACTAGATTTTAAAGTAACGGAGTGTTTGGATGTTGTTGTTAGTGCCATCAAATCAGTTAGGTGCTTCCGACTCATAGTAACCATATGCACAACAGAACAAGACACTGCCTGGTTCTGTGCCATCCTCACAGTCGTCTTTAAAACAATACATAAATTCCACCTCTCATTGTATGAATTTTCTGGACTGTGGTGTCTTGCACAATGCTATGATGCTGGAAGCTATGCCACTGATATTTGAAATAACCACAGGGTCACCCATAGTGGACATGTTTCAGCTGAGCTTCCAGACTTAGGCAGACTAGGAAGGAGAAGAGGCAGACTACTTCTGAAAACATTATGTATAGCAGTGAAACACTGTCAGCACCAAAATATCATTTGCATGTCTATCAAATTCTGTTATTTTACTGTCTTTCATGTGCTGCAGTTATTAAAGCATAAACATCAAATGTTTGTAAGGTAAACCTGAAACGAAACTGCAACTCTAGAGACTTTTTCCTATTCGTAACATTCCTAATTTATAGAGGTTATCTACTTAAATAAAAAGCAACAGTGGTTTATTGTATTCTAGAAATTCACCAAAAGCTCTGTGTTCTGAAAATGTCCCACAATACCAGTATTTGTGTAATAAAATAGCACTACCACATGTGCACAAAAATCAATGTGAAAGGATGTTCATAGCAGCATTGTCTATCATTTTTCTTACTTGGCAACTCCATCAGAATGTACCAATCACAGTAAATAGAAGATAGAATTATGTGCAAGCATTTATAAGAATGAGGACAGTCCACATAATGTGAAAAAGTGTTTTGTGCTATATTAAGTGGGGAAAAAAGGGTATGGAATAGTATGTCCCATTTGGTTTTTTTTAAGGCATAAAGCTCATAATAAATATCTGGTAGGTAAGAAGTAAGGTGTTTTAACTTGTCTTCTGCCAGGGCAGTGTGTTGAAAGGGAGAATGAGGGGAAACACGAACTTTCCTCATTTGAATTTTCTGTGGCTGTATTTTGTTTTTATAATATTATAAGAGTAAGAGTTCAACATTTTGCTGAAAGCGCTCTCTTCATTGCTGATAAACGGGAGCTTGTCATCAGAGGTTTCCTGTTGTGCCCTGATATGACTGTGTGTTTTCATAGTTTGACAGACTCGTAACCTGATGTTGTACTTCTTCCCTCTCAGCATTATAGCCTTCAGAAAAGCCAACAAAGTGGGAATTTTCATCAAAGTTACCCCACAACGTGAGGAGGGCGAAGTAACCGTGTGCTTTAAGATGAAACATGATTTCAAAAACCTGGCAGCACCCATCCGCCCCACCGAAGAAACTGACCAGGGCACAGAGGTCATCTGGCTCACTCAGCATGTGGAACTCAGCCTGGGCCCACTTCTTCCTTAAATGGTTCGACTGGTAGGCAGATCCCAAAGGACAGTGTCGACATGAGCCTGTGTTAAGTATTGAAGCTACGGCTTCATTAGGCCTTGTTTATTATCGATGTACCCATACACTACTGAATCCTGGTTTTAGGAGAGTGGGGGCAGAGGTAAGGCATTAGGAACACAGGGAAACTGCCAGTTCCTCTTAGGTTTGTCTCCTCGGCAACACCAAAACCTATGTCTCCCTCACCAACCCTGCACGTTGAATAACGACCGCTTAGAGCCATCCCAAGAAAGGGACAGCTGTTTCTTGGAATGGTGTTATGTTTGCCACCTGAGGAGTTCTGACCAAAATATCTCCCAATTTGATCTCAAAAGGATCAGAATGTAACAGATGAAAGTTGGAATCATAACCCAAAGCTGGACCTCCTGTTAGTATTAATGATCCAGTATTGGTCTCAATATACCAACTGTTTTTGTGTTGCATCAGGTTATCATCTTCAGCCTGAACATATCCTTTCATTTTCCATCATTGTCCTCATCTTGTCATAGATTTTCATTTGACAAAAAGAAAAAAAAAATGGTCACATCGTCTTTAGCTCTCTGGTGATTGGAACAGCCTGTGAAATTCTGAAGGCATTCTCATTTGCTCTCAGTGAACACAGAATAGGGTACTGTTATTTAGGGATTGCTCTTCAATTTTTTTCCTTAGTTAAAATACAGAACTTTTAAGAAGAATTTGAGAAGCAAATAATTACATGTCATGTGAAGAGTGTGGCAAATTCTACTCATTTAAACATTATAATAACGAGGGAATAATACTGCCACATGTTGGCAATTATTTATGTCTTTACTCCCTATATCCTCTCTGCTCGACCTGTTTAACTCTATAAACTGTTCAGAGTGTTTGGAAGTTGGATAGATTCCAGAGAAAACTTGAGTGAGCAAGTTCACTCCCAGGATGCAGAAAACATGAGATTTAAAAAAAAAAAAAAAATTCTGAAGGCATCATACACATTAATGTCCTTTCTGTTGATTTGAAGGAGAAATTGATAGTTACCTCTTGAATCCAAAACTGGATATGAAGATAACGTTTCCCCTTCCTGAATTTTTTGCATTTATCCTATGGTGTGTCAAGCAAGATCATTTTGATTGTAAACTGTAAAGTAGTTCAGCAGAAAGCCCAGAATTCTGGCTTTATAGCATTCCTGCTGTTTCCCTTGGTACCCTGGAGTTGGGTTGCTAACCTTAATTTCTGTAATGTTTTCTAATGAGTCTTGGCAAAGTATATAATCAGCTGCGTCACATTTTCAGTAAATGTATAGTTAGCAAGAGGCTAGCAGATTCTTGCAGAAAAGAAAAATGTCGTCTTTGCCCTGGTTTTGTTTTTAATTTGAGGTCCTTCATTTATATGTATCTGTGATCTAGAACTCAGACAGGACAAAGTAACATTTCAGCTTCCCCTTGAAAGAGAAAAAGATATCGGAAACCTTTGAAAGACACTAAATTGTACTCTTAAGGTCAAGCCAATTATATGAAACAATATTCCTACAGAGTAATATATATGCTGCAGTGTAAGAAAAAAATTACTCATATCTGTAATATGACAATGATAAATAGGGTTTAGTCTCTTAGGAATTGGGTTGGGGGTTGGATAAAGGCAAACTTACATACTATAGAAAGAGTTTACATTTTTGTAAACCCCTCTCCCCCCAGTGTAAAAATAATTTTTATTTTACTACCTACTGAAGCCTACTATGAAGCCACTGCTTCATAATCACCAGTGGAGGAAATGGGCATCAAAGTAGAGAATAGTTTCAGATGTTTACAGAATTGCATAGACTACACACAGTTATATGTCATGTGTTTATGACATATAGTTGGTAATATGGTCCCCAAAGTAATAATGTTAAAATAATAGGTCTCACAAGCCCACTAAAACACTTTTAATAATAGGATAATTAAATTTTTCAGAAGCCAAATTAACTTTCAGAATAACAGAGTCATGAGTTTAATGTTTCCTCAAGATAGTTTTTAGTATTTTGTGTGTTTATGGAAATGGTTCCTAATTCAGTTGGTGGATTAGAATTTGCATTTGTTGCTTTTTTATATTAGATAAAAGGTTGTATAATACATAGTGTGGACCATTACAGGAGAAGTAGATGCCATTAGCACTTGAAACAGTAATTTTGGAAACAGTCTAAATTAATTCAGATTTGTGATTTGATTATCCCACCAAAGTTGTTCAAAGTGCTCGTAGGTATAATGAGCTAAATGCCATCCATACTTGTGAAGAAACATCCTCTTTGGTCCCTTTTGGGAACAAGAAGTACCAGTTCTTGATCTTCATTAAATGACAGGTTACTGTTTTGCCTTATTGCTTAATTTAATGTAGTGAAATAAAGCAGATGAAGCTTGAATGTGTCTTTTGTTTGGGTTCATGACGACTGAAGTGGCATGGCTCTGAGTCAGAAGTCGGGAATCTAGAGAAATTGGTATGTGAACATCAGTGGGGCATGCTATTTCAACAACTGAATTATCTGAAACATAATATGCAATAGTAAATCAACAAGTAGTGGTGAAAATCATATAAACCTTTACTCAAGAGAAATATCAAAGTGTGAAGCTACTGCTTCTCCGTCTTGGTCTATACACTTCTAAAGGCCGTATTCCCATCTATCACTTCCCTGGAGAATTTTGCTCTCTTAGTTTACATCACATCAAAACACCAGTTTTGGCATCTTCAAGAGACTCAACACGTTTTCAATGTTCTTTGAGTTTGGGGAGCAAAAAGAAGTCTGAAGGGGCAAAATGGGGACTGTAAGGATGGGGTGAGGTTTCCCATTGAAATTTTCATAGGACTACCCCTGCGACCCGCAAAGAATGAACAAGGTGTGTTGTGATGGGGAAAAAATACCATGGTGCACCTCCTGACCTTTTTCTAACCAACAGTTTTCAGTTCTCTTAAAACTTAGTAAGTCCCCATCCTGTGAAATTTGAGAAAATCTATGATTATCCCTTTGAAATCCAAAAACAACTAGACAGACACTGCTAGAAATTAAAATATTATATTGAAGAAATAGAATTATTTCTAAATGAGGAAACTGACATCCATGCAGGAACTACATTGCTTCAAATTGCAAGGAAATTACGTTTTTAAAAGTTTGGATAAAGAATGGATGTGTGCTCACAGGCCATGAGGAAGCATGAAAAAAAATATAAAGTGTTCAACTGCAAGCTTGGACATTATCAGTAAGCTTGTTAGGTGCATTCTGAGGTTATTACATTTTTAGAGTTCAACAAAGCATTTTGTCAGGAGCTAGTTTTTGTGTTGCAATCAGTCTATCTCCTTATACTCTAGTTACAAACTTACAAAGGGCGATAGGTGAAAAATCCTAGTGAATGAAATTTTGGAGTCAGGATCTGGTGAATGAAGACTTTATATGTCTTAGCCCCAAAGTTATTTAGACTCTTAACATGATTTAACATCAGTTTGATCTCCTCTCCAACTACTGACCAAGATATCTCTGGGGCCAGTTGTACATCATTATTAAGGGGCATCAGACAATTTTTCCAGGTTAGAAATCTTGATCCTTTTCTTTTTTATTCAAGCAATACAATTTTGTAGATCTTAGGAAAGGAGCTCTGGTAGCGTAGTGGTTACGAATCGGGCTGCGAACCTTAAGGTCAGTGGTTTGAAACTACCAGCCGCTCCGCGGGAGAAAGATGAGGCTTTCTACTCCTGTAAGGATTTACACCCTCGGAAACCCTGTACAGGGTCGCTATGGGTCGGAACCGACTCGATGGCACTTAACAACAACAACAGTTCAAAATGGAGTTTTTTACTTAGGCCTGAAGTAACCTTATTCAGATAGGCAAGTACCTCAATTTTTTTGAATGTTTAGTGCTTCACATTCCATCAAGTCACCACTAGGGGGCGATAGGTCATGCACGAAAGAATTACCCATCTTCTACCAAGTCTTGGAGCTTGTGATTTGGCGAACCTGAGTGAATCCTTAGGCTGTTTCTCTTAGCAGGGTGTATGGTTTTTTAGTATACTCTTCTAACTCCACATGTGGGCCACTCTTTCTGGTTACCTGGAAGACTTTGGATGCTGTCTTCTGGTAGCAGGACACCAGCTTGGCCTTTCAGGTTCTGGGTCTTGTTCGACTTCACCTTGCTATAGCTCTGTGTTTTACTTCCAGGGTGGATTCAATTTGATCATGGTGAGTGATCCATACAGGTCCATACAGGACTGCATTCAAGGAATAACGGTACTCTAAAAACGATTTGACTTCAAAATGAAATCTCATTCTCCTCAGAAATGTTTCTGTTAGATACATAATACATAGTTAATGCCTTGGAGGTTAACTGTGACACCCAGAAACAATGTATCAGACATTTAACAAGTAATGTGGTATAGAATAAGCTCTGGACTGCTGACTGAAAGTGCATGGTTCACACCAACAAGCTGCACCTCAGAAACCCTATACAGGATTGCTATGAGCCAACACTGACTCGATGGCTCTTAACAACAACATAGTTACTACTGGACTCTTGTGGACTCCATTATGAATGTGACACCATTCCTCATCAATTTGTCCTTCCCAGGATAGTAATCAGCATGATTGTGCAATTCAGAATGACCAACACCTAACCATTTCAGCTCATGAATGCCAAGGGTATCTGTATGCCTTCCATTTTGCTTTTAACAATTTCCGATTTTCTAGATTCATACTTCATACCACTCATACAGTTTATTGTACTGTGGTGGCTTGCGTGTTGCTGTGATGCTGGAAACTATGGCACTGGTACTTTATTTAATACCAGCAGGATCACCATGGTGGACGGATTTCATCAGAGCTTCCAGACTAAGACTAGGGAGAAGCAAAGTCTGACTACTGAATGTTTAGCCAATGAAAACATAATGAATAGCAGCACAACACTGTCAGCTATGGTGCCGCAAGATGAGAAGTTCAGGTTGAAAGGCACTCAAAATACACCTGGCGAGCTGTCTCTCAA